ATGTTAAATCTGGGTGATGGGAAGGGACCTGAGGTTCATTAAACTCTCTACTTTTACTTACGTTTAAAATTTTCCATAATAAAAATTTTTTAAAAAGTGTATTGATAACTAAGATAACAGTATATTTATAGTGGTTGTTAAAGATTAACTCAAAACTGAAGCTAGGGAGTAATCAAGATAGGTTTTCATGAGATAGAAAGGAGAAAAGAAACTACTAACTGTCAATTTATTACCAAGAAATTAGAATCCTGACATTTGTATAAGTTGTTAAGCTAACGAGAGTTACGATGAAAAACCCTCAACTCCACTACATTCCATTATATAATCCCTTACTTTAAAAAATTCTCAGCAAAATTGAATATTTATCTGCATTTCTATGGTGAAAAGTAATGCTGTAGGAAAGCAAAAGTCATCACCATGGACTGATAAGTAATGTTGTCTTTTGAGAGGGGAAAAGCTTTATAAAAGACTAAGATATACATGTTTTAATTCTATAGAAAAATGTGATTAATGGAAGCACATTCTTTACCAAGGAGTTACTTTACAAACATATGCTATGACATATTATACAAAGTAGGAACAAATCAGTGTCCGGTATGGCCTAAAACATTTCCTGAACAGGGGCGCCTGGGTGGCTCAGATAGTTAAACGTCTGCCTTCGGCTCAGGTCATGATTCCAGGGTCCTGGGATCAAGTCCCACATCGGGCTCCCTGCTCAGCAGGCAGCCTGCTTCTCTCTCTGCCTCTCATGAATAAATAAATAAAAAAAAAATTAAAAAAAAAACATTTCCTGAACAAATATTTACTTTGGTAATACAAAGACATTTACTTTAGAGTTATATGACTTCCCTCTATGTCTAAAGGCAAAATGATTGTAATAGCCTTGGTAAAAAATATTACTGAAATTAAATTTCAGTACACATAAAATAAAAGAGCATAAGAACAAAGGAAACTATACTGAGATACTAGAAAAAAAATCATGGTGTAGTGGAAAAAAACAAAAACAAAAAAACAAAAAACCTTGGATGACAGGTGCTTTTAGGCTCTGCTGTTACTCTGGGGAAAAAAACCCTGGGCCTTGGTTTTCTATCTATAGAAGAAGTCAAACTAGCTTATCTCTTTCTAGTCCCACTTCCTGAGCCTACAGTATCTTTCTTAGAAAGAATCTCTGACTTTCAGCAGAATACCTGTTTGACTGGAACAAAGACCACATTTGCAACTAGGCATGACCAAAATGATAAAGGTTTAGCCACTGAAATATAAGTCAAAGTGCTCTATGTCTGTCCAGATAAATCTCCTTAAAAGAGACTATATATACTTTTTATCTCTTTTTCCCTCCACTCTAGACAATCTGCTGCTAGGGATGGCTGGAACTCTAACAACCATCTTGGAAATAAAGTTTTGTCTTATTTAAGAAATCATTATTTGGAATTTTTCTGTAATTTCAAAAAGAACTTAATCCTAGATGGTACAAAACCACATACTTATACTATATTAACTTGAGATTACGTAGTTATTCAACAATAAATAGCAATGAAAATAAAATGCTAGAAGGAAAAAGAACCCTAGAAGGAAAGATCACATATGGTATTCCTACCATTTTCCTACTAACTTCAAAGAATAAGAGAAAAGAGGGGTTTAATGATTTTCCTCCCCTCTAATAGGGGTAGTTAGTATGTTTAGTGTAGGTAGATTAATTCCATACATTCATTATTCCCTCATTCTTCATTCAGCAAATATGTATTAAGCACACTATGTGCCATGTACTAAGGTGCCTGAATAAGACAGAAAAGATTCCTATTTTAATGAAGTTTACATTCTAGTGGAAAAGTGAAAAGCAGTGGATATTTAATACGGTGGAAAAATACACAGAAGCTTAGCTATTCTTCCACTGATGACACATTCTCACCATCAAAAATATAAACTAATTATAACTAAGTTCTTCCTTTATTTTTTTTAAAGATTTTATTTATTTATTTGAGAGCGCAAACACATGGAGAGAAAAAAGCAGACTCCCCACTGAGCAGGGAGCCTGACTTGGAGCTCGATCCCAGGACCCTGAGATCAGGACCTGAGCCGAAGGCAGACGCCTAACCGAATGAGCCGCCTAACCAAATGAGCCTAAGTTCTTCCTTTAGATAATGAAGGCTCTAAACAAGAAGCAGAACTATTTAATATTCTTTGCAACTAGATCAACTGTTTCTATAAACCTTTATTTGTGAAGAGAGAGCATGTTTTATCCATCTTTTAATTTCATAATGGAAAAAAATTCTTGACATTTCAATATTCATAACATCTTGAAACTTAATTTTTATAGAATGAAAATGAGCACAGAAATGAATATGATAAACAAAAAAATTTTGGTAAGGCATTTTTTCAAGGAGCTTAAAATCTAATTGAAACTTTAGGAACAGAGATAATCCAGTCATATAAAGAAATTGTTGATCACTCAACAAAAGGGACTAAAAACTGTAATATCTAAATAAGACATAGAAACCCAGATTATGAAAAGGCCCACGCAATTTTTAAATATGCCAAGGCTTCAAAAGCAATGTGTTTGTACTCCCAATCCTCTGATAAAAATTAATATTAGGGAATAAGTGGTTGTGGATATGGAGGTTAACCTGCTGATGAATACCTACTAAATGATTTAGGTATGACAGACATTAGTTCACAGCCGGATTTCAAATGTGGAAGATATAATAACACAATCAAAGAGAGTAAATGGAGGAAAAGAGATCCTAAAGTCAGGAGAACAAGCCACCAAAGGGCAGAAGAAAAAGTCATGTACCACTGATGTTTTCCTTATGTACTGTGCATACTGACAAATGGCTTGGAAAACAGTGGTTTTAGTACAGTTGACCCTTGCACAACACAGGCTTGAACTGCATGAGTCCACTTATATGCAGATATTTTTCAATACACTAAGGTACCATAAATGTATTTTCTTCCTTATGATTTTCTTTCTTTTTTTTTTTTTTAAGATTTTATTTATTTATTTGACAGAGAGAGACACAGCGAGAGAGGGAACACCAGCAGGGGGAGTGGGAGAGGGAGAAGCAGGCTTCCGGCCGAGCAGGAAGCCCGATGCGGGGCTCGATCCCAGGACCCTGAGATCATGACCTGAGCTGAAGGCAGACGCTTAACGACTGAGCCACCCAGGCGCCCCCTTCCTTATGATTTTCTTAATAACATTTCCTTTTCTTTAGCTTACTTTATTGTAAGAATACAGTGTATAGTACATATAACATACAAAATATGTGTTAATCAACTGTTCATGTTATCGCTTAGGCTTATGGCCCATAGTAGGCTATCTGAAGTTAAGTTTTTGGGGGAGTCAAAAGTAATACACAGATTTTTGACTGCACAGGGTTCATGCTCCTAATCCCCATGTTGTTCAAAGGTCAACTGTAATTTCCTCAATAGATCTCTACAGGTCAAAAAATTTACTTTATACCTAACTTTCCATGAAAGAAGTGGTCTAGGCACTTCAAATATAATTCCCTTGAACGAGACATTCCACATAGTAATTTATGCAATGGAAGGCCATATTGAAAGATAGTGTATTGTAATATAAAGTAACTGTAGCTAAAGTGCACATACGCAAACCAAGTTATAGTCTTGATACAGTCAAGTACATATGCCACAATATGGCATAATTTAAGAAGAGCAAAATATAAATACTGTATATTTATAATAAAGCATGATTATTACAATACAACATAATGCTTTTAATATACAAAATACATTGAAGGATAGTCCTATTATGGGATACGTATATCTACCTCCCGGAGGATTCAAAATGGTTATTATATATGCTAAAATTTTATTATGTTTCAATATGCCTTTTAAAGGGGTGACTAAATCAATAACCTATTTTTTATAAAATTGAGTTGACATCTGAACTGAAAAGAAGTCCACTTTTTCACATAAAAATGTAAATGTCACAAAAAATGGTGATCTTATTTAATGTCATTTTTCAATCTCAATAGAGATAAAGATCAAGGACAGCAATTCTCTCTGAAAATGGACTATAAAGGAAAGAGACTAACTCTAAATGATAGAAAATAAACTATAAATGGCATAGGTTCTTAAGCTGGGGTTCAAGATGTATTTCAAGGAACACAGTGTCACCCTGAATGAAGTTTTATATAAAATTTTGAGTGTTGGTTTTTATCAGGTTCTCAAATGAGTGTGAGATTTAAAGAGCATTCAACACACTTAGAAGTGTAATGATCTTATTGTTAGCTGAAGAATTTTACAAGCCCCTAAGTTATTCAACAGCAAATACCCAGATAATAGTACTTCATTTCCAGAGTCCCTGAATTTACCTCTTCGCAAAGCAGTTTCAAAACCAACCAAACAAACCCAAAGATGGCACAGAAACCCATCAACTCAAGAGATACAAGTTTGTAGAAAACTATATGGGATTTTCTACTGCAGTCAAGATCAGAGGAAAATCATCCGACAGTTGCAGCATAAAATTCAAGAGAAGAGAATGACACATATTTCTCCGGATATCCCCTTTATAAAGCTCCTTCCCATTCCAAGACCTAATAAATTAAGTTGAACATCTCAGATATTCCCTCTCGGGATCTTAAGGGTGAAATCCAAATGCCACTCCCCCACAAGAGAAGCAAGGAACACTCCCACCCCAAAGAGGCAGGAAACAGGTTTCTCCCAATTCCAAGAAAGTGAGCAAAGCGAAGGTTTGTCGTCAAGGATGACTATCAGACAAAATGAAAGAGACTTGTCACTCTTGTTTGACGGGAGGGGTGGGAAGGCGGGACCCCAACCTTAATGCTGCCGCACACGATGGGGCCCGGATCTTCAACGTAGCCTTGCCAGATTGGTGTGGAACTGAGAAAGCAACTCAGCAGCAGAGCTGAATGGCAAAGGCAAGACCTGAACCTCCTGGTGAGGAGCTACGTGGCACTAAGCAAACAGTGCTTCGTCTCCCCCACGCCCTGCTTCCGCCCTGCCTTTCCCCCTTTGGTTACCAGTTGCTCCAGATGCCGTAGAGTAATTCAACAAAAGCGAAAGAGAGGTTCAGGCACAGGAAGAAAAACAGGTTCCGGGACGTCTTGTCCGACAGGATAGACCTGGGGGAGTGATAAAAGTGGAGAAGAGGCGGGAGTCAAAGGGGTGCCAGGACCCGGAGGTTGGGTCCCCTTTCAAGACCCTCCCGGTCCAAACCTCCTTTCCTCACAGGGAAGGAAGGTGTCCCTGACGCTCCCTCCCTGTACCTCGGGCTATCCTTAGGTCTGGGCCTTCTCCCCTTCGGCCGGATACCCCTTCCCGCAAAAATAGCACCCGCACCTAAACCAGCCCGAAATCTTGCCGAACAGATTGAACTTGGGTGGTTTGTATTCATCGTCCTTGATGGACAGGGGCAACATCTTCTCTGCCCGGCGAAGCGCCGGGTCTACTCCCCTCTAGAAGTGGCTCCGTGGGTGATGGTAGTGACAGTGGTGACGCCTCAGATGGGATTCCCCAGCGTTTGTCCCGGGCCGCGCGCCGCTTCGAGACACAGACAGACACAGACACACACCCGGGAACTCGCCGACTTCCGGCCCGGGCCGCGCAACGCGTCCTGGGACGCGAAAGGGGGAGGCGGGCCCGGGGGCGGGGCTTGCGCGGCGGAGGGCGGGGCTTACGGCGGGAGCGAGGTGGGACCTGCGGGGGGGCAGTAGGGGGCAGAAAAAAGTGGCAACTGCTGGGTAGTTAATGCGCCGGCCTGGGATGTAGGCACGAAGAAAATCCTGAAGTGACGGCCCACAGACTGGGGTGGCTGGGAGGTTGAGGGCCCGCTCTCGCCCCCCCAGGCCGCCTACCACTGATGTTCCCGGATGCGCTGGGGTCCAGCGCCTGCCCTTTCGCCATTTCCCCCTATTAGCATTAAATCCCGGTGTTGGGGATGGCAATGCTTTAGAACCCAGGCGGCAACGTGCTCTGTAGCCGCCAGTCCGCGGGAAGCGCAAGGGATAGTTTTGCTGGGTGAACTCGGTGGTCCCCCTAATCCTAGTAATCCAGTCCCGGAGAACAGCGCCTGGCCTTCCGTACTGCCAAGTGTGAGGCAGTCAACACATGCCTTTCGAAAGAACGTTAAATGAATCCAGAAGAAGCCCTTTAAAGGAACCCCCTACGAGACCATGTTGGAAATGAGGTCTGGGTAAGGCACTGCTTCCCGGACAATCTCAACCCGCCGAAGCCCCCCAAACTCTCGAGTTCGTGCAGGTCCCCTTCACTTCCAGGTCATCCCGGGGGCCGCAGCCGCGGCTGTAATTCTTGTCAGAACCTCCCTGCGCATTTGAGGGAGGTGCTGGAGGAGCTCACTGGTCGGTGGGGCGCGAAGACGCGCGGGGCGCAGAGAGAGGAGCTCTCGGGCTTGTCCTGGGCGCCCACAGTCGTTGGAACGCTCCTGCGGGCGCCTTTCCGGAAAACTGTCTGGATAAGGTCAGGTGGTCCATCACGTGAATGATTAAAAGTTGTTACTCTGGGGAAGAAATGGGGGAAAAGGAGGATTGGCTTTTGGAAGTGGGCTGGAAACTACAAAACCGAGCTTCTTGGGAGCTGCCTTTGAGCCTCACAGGAAGTGGAGCGTCACCGGGAAGGAGGGGCGGCCACCCGGGGACTGTCCCTGCTTCAGGCGCTCACTTTGCGGGCGGTGTTTTTTCCAGGTTATCATTCAGCGAATGAGGCAGGGTAGATGCACGCTGCTGGGTTTAGAAACAAACAAACAAACAAACAACAACAACAAAAAATGAGCAAGCGAGACGCCCCTTCCGTTTTATGAGAACTAGGCTGCAAGCAAGTAAGTCGGCTGGCCCCACTGCAATCTTCTGCACTCGAGGTAAGGAAATAGCAAATGCTCTCGTGTTAAAAAATTTTTGCAGTGAGGATGTATGCATGTTTTGCTCTCGTTCTTGGAACTTTGTGCGTGAGTGGGGTAGTGATTTGTTGTCTTTATTTTTGAAAATGTATTTTTTTCATTGTTCATGTTAATTAAAACTGCTGTGTAAAACAGCTAGATTCCAGAAATTAAGTTCTGTAAAGAGTATTTTCTCTTTGCCTTTCTTGGCCTATGTCTCATTATTTTAACTTAAACATAGAAATATTTTCAATTAGTAGAATTTACTTATATTTTTTAGGAAGCTTTTATATGAGCCATAGACTTTAAATTTTACTCTACTGCACTGCTGGGGAAATATTAAGTGGTTGCAAACTAGGTTAAAGATAAATATTTCCATGGTAATTGGGTTTTTCTCCAAAACGGCTTTATTTCAATATGATGTAACTGGGGAGTGGGGGGGGAGATATATAGAAATAACCAAATTTCAGTAACTGATTTCCCGTATTCTCTTAATTCATCAAGGTCAGCTGCAATTTGAGCCTGTATTTTTGCATTCCATTTTTGAAAATGAATTCTGCATTTTATCCTATATTGCTGTGAACGAGAAATTGCTCAGCTGGTTTATGGAGAAATCTGCATTACCCCATTACTCCTTTCAAATACTGAAATAAGTTGGAGAAATTGAAGTTTAATTTCAGTTATATTGGTTTCCTGGGACTCCCAAATTGCAGCCTAACTGCAATACTAAAGGCATTTTAATGGAAATAGAAATTGGACACTAGTTAAATGAGGAAAAGTTCTGTGAGTGGAAAATGTTTGCATCTCACTTCTTTTGTCATTCTGAAATAATGTTTCTTCCATATATGTTGACCAATATATATTGTCATATCAAAGTTAAAGTTAGTTTCTTTCATTCAGCGGTCATTTAATGAGTGAGTGTCTACTATCTGCTAGGCTCTGTGCCGGGCACAGGGTGGGAGGAAGAAAATAATTATAAAGCCAGTTAAGTCCAGGTTCTTTCCCTGGAAGAATTTTATGGGATGAAGTTGATGTGAGGAGAGAGGGTGACAGGATTTTAGAATTGTGTGATGTTTAAGATGTGCACAAGGTATGCCCTTGGTGTATCAAAGGGAGACAACTGTCACTCAGTGAGCCTTGTGATATATACCAAGCCTTTTGTCTCAGCCATCCTGTTGCCCCTTCAATAACTTGTTTAATGAAAGAACATTATTTTGGAAAATCAAAAATGATTCTTCTGCTCAATTCAGGTGGTCATTACAGATGCAGGATTTTGAAAGATTCCAATCATAACTCTTAATTCCTTCATGTCTTAAAAGATTAAATGGGGTTTTTAAGATTATAAAATAGATATAGTAATGAACATTTTAAGATTAATAAATGGATTTCTACCCTGAACTTTGAAATATTTGTTTAGATCATCTTCTACTAATTAATTGCATTAGATTAACTAGGCAGACTATACGACAGGAAAAAACCAGCTTCTCAGACATGTGCTTGAGGACTGTGAGAAATGAATGCAGAGAGAATGAAGGGGCAGATGCTTATCTCCAGTCAGAGTTCCAGCTCCTTTCAGTCAGTAGTCAGTAAGGAATAGGAAGGATGCCATCTGTCATTCCTCAGTAATCAACCCTGGCATTTAGCTGCAGCCCTATTTTAGACCCCATGCTTTTTTAGATGCTTCAAATTGAATGCCCCGTGAACGTCGACTGGATAAAGAAGCTGTGATGATGGTGGATAAAACTACAGATTCTTGAAAATCTAGAAATTGAATATAAGTGTAAATTGCTAATGTGTTCCAAGGTTTTGCTCCATGGCACATATCTATAGCGTATAGGTTTCAAATGTATAAACACATTAGATAGGGGGATGATATGAGTTTATTCTGCTTCTGCATATTTCCCAAAGGTGAAAACACAAATATAGCAGGGTTAGCTCCAACCTCACGGGAAGATGTTATCTATCTCTCTGCCTAAATGCGATTTTTAGAACACGGAATAGCTCATTTTAATTTCTAAAAATAATCTGAAGCCTATAGGCAATGGCATTAAAAGCATTTTTAAAAATTTTCTGATGATTGACAAAAACATCACAGAAGAATCTTTGATTTCCCCTAATAGCACCAAGAGATCCTGTTCCTATCAATTACAGAAGCCATAAAGAAAAGTTTTAAGAAGTTAAAACTTTACCATAATGAGGTAAGTACCAATATGGGCTTTTTTGTTTGTTTTTTATTTTATTTTTATTTTTATTTTTTTTATTTTTTATTTTATTTTTATTTTTTTAAAGATTTTATTTATTTATTTGAGAGAGAGAGCATGAGAGGGAGGGGGGTCAGAGGGAGAAGCAGACTCCCTGCCGAGCAGGGAGCCCGATGCGGGACTCGATCCAGGGACTCCAGGATCATGACCTGAGCCGAAGGCAGTCGCTTAACCAACTGAGCCACCCAGGCGCCCTTTGTTTTTTAAAAATTGTGGTAAAATACATATAACATAATATTTGCTATCTTAACCATTTTTAAGTGTATAGTTTAGTAGTATTAAGAATATTTACATTGTTGGGATGCCTGGGTAGCTCAGTCGGTTAAGTGTCTGCCTTCGGCTCAGGTCATGATCCAGGGTCCTGGGATCGAGTCCCACATTGGGCTCCTTGCTCATCGGGGAGCCTGCTTCTCCCTCTGCCTGCTGCTTCCCCTGCTTGTGGTCTCTCTCTCTCTGACAAATAAATAAATAAAATCTAAAAAAAAAAAAAAAGAAGACTATTTACATTGTTGAGCAACCATTCCCCAGAATTTTTTCATTTTGCAGAACTGAAATGCTATGTTCATTAACCAACTCTCCATTTCCCCCTTCCCCCAGTCCCTTGTAACTACCATTCTACTTTTTGGTCTCTATGAATCTGACTCCTCTAGATATCTCCTATAAGGTCTTTTTGTGACTGGTTTATTTCACTTAGCATAATATCCTCAAGGTTCATCCATGGTGTAGCATGTGATAGAATCTCCTTCCTTTTAAAGGCTAAATAGTATTTCATGTATAAATCACATTTTGTTTAGCCATTTTTCTGTTAATGGATATTGGATTGCTTCTGCCTTTTGACTCTTGTGAACAATGCTGCTGTGCACATGAGTGTTGTACCAGTATTTTTATCTGAGAAGAATTATTTCCTCTAGAGGTACTCTTGTTTCCTTGGAAATAAAAGTTCCTACTTGAGCCAGGGTCTGTTCGAAAATACTGTAAGGCCTCCCTTAGTCTAACCCATCAAAATAATTCAGCTTACGGAATAAAGCCAATACCCATAAAGTTGAAATATTCTTGTAGACTAGAACAAAGCTGAAGATAAGAGACTACACAAGACACTGAAAATACGAAGTGGCACAAATGTGGAGTTTGGTGTGACCTACCACTCTTTCTGTGGCTCAGGGAAAATCGTTTCATATTCTCAGTCTCCGCTATCCCATCTCTCAAATGGGGTGGATATATTTTAATTTCCTTGTCTCTAAAGATTTGAAACCTTACTGATTTGAGATATTATATAACACACAGATGGCAGAGGTCTGACAGTTTTCATTACTATTGCTGAGCTCTGTGAGGGCAGGAACTGGGTGCTCTTTGCATTACCATCCCTAGTGCCTGACAGTGCTGGGCACGGGGTAAGTACCTGTAAGTGTTTGTTGACTGATGGATATTTACCATGGGGATTCGGACCTTCCTCTAATAAAGTTAGAAAGCTTGTATGAGCCAGGATTGCTTTGATGTTAGGTTTGATATCTGAAACTATTTATAAATTATAATTCATATGTATGAAATCTCTTTCTCTTAGCGATTTTGGAATGTGAGTTTATTGCTGAACACCACTGTTTTCTAAAAGAGAGAAGTTTCCATAGAATATTCCAGAGATCCGTTGCCTAACAATCTTGCCTTCTCTCCGTTTTCCTGTGACTGAAACAGAAGTTCAAATGAAAAGCTCTATTATGCTAGAATGGTAAAAGCAATATATTTGCAGATGTACTTGGTTTCTTTTTGACCCATTTCTGGAACTAATTTTGCATGGCACTGTACTGAGCTAAAAATGCTTTTCTATTTCTAGGCTTTCTTCTTAGGATGCATTGACTCCTTGGATCCTTACAAGTCGTGGATGTTCCTCTTAGAAATAAGGCCATTCCTACTCCTGTCCAATACATGTCCATGGAATTGGTCATCTCCAAACATCATCATCATTATCTTCATCATAGCTACAATGAATTGGCAATTCCAGGAGAAAGATGCAAGGCTAAAGCGAACTTTTATCTAGCATAGTTTTATGTAGCATAACCTGGGCACTTCGAGGGTAGAGAGGAGCTCACTCTCTGCCTCAGTAACAAATGGCTGAATTAAAGGAGGAGGTACTTTAAAAAAATGTCCCACATGATACTTATACATCATTTCCTCTTAAATCAGCGATAATGAAGCAAATCCAGCTAATTGATAGTAGCTGTCTGAGGAAGTATAGAAAAGGAATCTGATGTTTTGTTCAGGCTTAGGAGGAAAAAAAAATGCCAGGACTGTTGGGCAGCTTCTGCTATGAATAAAGGGGTGGGAGTGGGCAGGCAAGTGGAAACACAGGTACTTACTGTCTGTTATCCCTGCTTTAAATGCTGCCCTTGGTGTTCCCTCTAACTGGATTTACCTATAAAGGAATGGCTCACTCTGCCTGGCTGCCAACAGGAGGACTTGATCTTGAATGTGCCCAGTACGGAAATTCTTTCCTTACAGCCTGCAGTGAGAAATGACCTGTCACAGCATCTATCTATTCAAATGCGATATTGCAGTAAATGTAGCTATTTATCAACCTGCTTTAGCAATACTGTTTCGGAACTACAATTTCAAAATGCAGTGAGGGCCAGAACTAAGCCTTCTAAAGAACAAGCTTTAAATTGGCTATCAGTGATCTTATATATGTAACCAGTTATACTGTGACTAGAAAAGACTGATTGCATTCATCCTAATAGCCAATCCACGACCCAGTTGATCCAGATTGTGGTCATCTAAATGGTCCATTCTGAACACTGTACAATCGATCCTAAGTACAGCAGAACCACAAGATGAATCCCACGCTATGGACAATTTTATTATTTATTATTACTATAAGTGTATTCCTACTCCTGTTTTTCCTATTCCTAAATAATGTCCTATTCCTAAATACGAATAATAAAGAATATTTATTGGTAACACAAAATCATTTAACTTATTTTGATGTATTTAGACCTGTGAAGAAAGTAATGGGAGTTAGGAAGAGCCTTGTAAGAACAGATGGGTTCCTCAGGAGGAAGAGTGAGGGAAAATCACTTAGGAAGCAGAAGATAGCAGTTGGTAAAGGATGAGAAAAGTGGTATGGCACTTCTAAAATAACAGTGAAAAGAATGAATTTCTTGAATATGTGGAAAATAACGAAAGGCAAAACTCTTCCCAGAATACCAGATAGCACCTGGAAAAGACTTGTAAAGAAAAGTGACCTTTCATGTGCTATTTCTGGCATTTTGTGTTTAGTCATGAAGTAAATTCTAGTGTATGTGGCTTGAAATTTTAATGGAAGAGGCTTACTATGGGCAATAGTGAATGACACTTGGTAGCAGTGTTTTCTCACTTAGTTTTCTTTTTCTGCCAATCGTCCTGAAGTCTAAGGGGTTTTTTGGGTCAGTTCCTGGACCCAAACTAAAATTTCATTTCTCAACTAGGTAAGATTTTATTTTCTGTTGGTTTACATCCTGTATGCTGCCTGCCAGATTAAGTCATCTAGCTTCTAATTTTTGTTAGCTCCTAAAAGTTTGGGGAAATTCACAAGGACAATATTATCTAAGAAGTGATGATTTCCCCCCAAGGCAAATCAGCTCATTCTTCAAGAGCTTCCATAGAAACAAAGATGTGCAAAGGTATTTTAATGCAGAATATCTTTGAAAAGATGCAAAAAAAAAAGAGTTCTGGGATGTCTTTTATTTATCAAGTAGCTTGACCACAGAACTGAAAGTAGAAAAGTGGCTTGTGCTTAAGACCACATTTCTGACTGGCTGTGCTAGTCACCAAATGGGGGATAACTCAGGTCTTTCACATAGGGATTGGTTTCTTGGGTACTGTCTAGTCTTAATTGGGCCTTCGCATTTAATTTAAGTTTGTTCTGTTAGTTTCAAGCATTTCTTATCCTTTGTGGAGTTGAAGACCATTTAAACAGAGATTCCCTCACCCCATTTAACCACAAAGAGCTGGGAGCACTTACTCAAAAAATGGGCCAGGCACTGTTCTGGATGACAAAGACTAATGGAAACTGCCTTCCAAATACAGTTAGACTCAAAAAGGAGCATAGTCAATGGTTGTAATACCTGGAAACAAAGGCTAGTGACACTATGTTCTGAGTTCCCAAGAGCACTGAGGATGGAGAGTGTGAGGCATGTTCGCAGGGGAGGGGATGTTTGAAAGAGACTTGGGAGGGGCCCGGGAGTAAGAGTTTGTCAGGTGGGGACAGGAAAGGGCTTTGTCGGTGGAGAAAATAGCATGTACTAACACATGGAGTCCTAGGCCAGAACACTGGCTGTCGGTACCATAAGAGAAAAGTCCTTCTGAAATTTGGCACTACGTGTCCCTTTGCCGTGGATTGAGCAGTGTGTGTCATCTGCATGCTAGAAACCTGGTCAGAAACTGCTCATCAGTTGCATAGCTGTCTCTTCCAACTCTTGCATGTTCACGGAAGGAAAGCCCAGGTTCTGAATTGGCCTCTGCATGCCCTTCCAGAGGTGATTTTACGTCTTGGCAGCTGAGGGCCCTTTTCTGAGCATCTGTATTCTATAATCATCAGTTTTTAGGCAAGTACATGTTTTGTAGGATGAACCAGAGGAGAAAACAATCTGTACAACATGAGACAAATCTAGTAGTGAAATGGCAGAATAGTGATCGTTCCTCCACCATCTGTGGCATCAAAATGAAAATGACAGCTTCTCCGTGTACGACGTCAGGCTGCTCCCTGCTTTTCTACTTTATGAGTCAGAGGACATAACTAATCTTTGTTCGTACTATGCTCTGGCATATTTGTTTTCAGCTTCAGTCTGGATAATTGCTGCTTTTTCAGTCTGAAGGAACTAGCCCTGAGAAAAGAATTATTCATTCAGCAGCATTCCTTCTAGGGAATATGGAGAGATGATATAAGTAAATAACTGACTAGTGTGTCT